GAGTGTTCCGAATGTCTGCTTAGACCTTTCCTCTGATGATACCCACTCTCGGATGGGACTTACCTTATTCTTACCAATGGTTATTAGCAACTTCCCAAATTAACTTCTGGGCTGCCTTGCTTGGGTAGCAAAACTTTAGAAAAGTCTCCAGATACAACGTGCCCACATCAGCTCACCCTTTCTGAACGGTGGCAGGATCTCTTGTAGGAATTGCTTCATATTCTCAGAGAGACAATATTCTAGCTCTGACTGAGGAGCTCTGGGCTAATCTTTCAGCTGGATGTGCTAGTTCATGGTCATTATTTCCCTTTATTTGAACTCTTTGGAATATCTGTAAGCTTCTAAGTAAAAGATCTTGATTTCTTAGTGACTGTTGTGACAGGAAGGAGGCTGGGGACTGAGGGTAGAATGAAGAAAGTCCGAGGATCTAATGTCAAAATGGGGACTGTGGTTGATAACACTGTATTGTATAACTAAAATTTGCTAAGAGAATAGAATTTAAATGTTCTTATCCCGCCCCCCTCACCAAAAGGAAAGATAAATATGTAAATATTTGAGGTGACAGATGTGTTAATTATCTAGATGGAGCAATCCCTTCACAATACAGATGTATATCAAATCATCCTGGTGTACACTTTAAATATCTCACAATTTTATCTGTTAATTATATCACACTAAAGCAGAAATAACAACAACAACAACAAAAAAGAATGAGGTCAGAACTGAAAAAATGTTAGGTGTCCTGGGACCAAAGGCTTTATAAGTTACAGAATGTGTAATTAATGAATGTATTTATTTAATATATTTCAGCATTCTTCACATTCTAAAGTAGTTTATGTCCTTTATAGAGCAAAGAAAACTGGCACATCAGTAGAGGAAGTGGAAAGGTTAGTTATCTTCCAGGCCAACGTCCCCAAAGCTGAGCAATTTGTGGACGATAGTGGTAAAAACCAGGTGTGCCTGTACAAATATGAAAGCTACTGCAAAATGAGTTTGTTTGCTGCAGTGCTGTTTACTCCTTGAATGTCAGAAGACAACATAGTGACTGCCATGGCAGGGACCTTGACATTGGGCCCCAGGTTCCTGTGTCCTGCTGGTTCACTATACATCTTGTTATATCTTTAAAGCCGAAAGACTTGTATTCAGCTGTAGGTCCTACTAGCAATGAATTTATGATCCATAAAAGTTAGTGGTTATGGAAAACTTGATGAAATAATTGGGCAAAAGGATTCCAGATAGGAGTATATATCTTACATTGTTTTGTTATTGATAAATAACCTAATCAGAGAAGGATTGATTAGGCAACAAATTAACTCCTCTATTTGTATGGTGTTAAGATTATGAATGTTAATTAATGCAGCTCACCAGATATTTCTGCCTCTCATTTTTACAGATATATCATTGGATGGTGCCTTCTGGCTCCCTTGTGTTTGAGTGAGGTCATGAGATTAGTTATGGATAATGAGTTGTGGTCCAAAGTGGTGTGATTCACTTCTGGACAGAGTATTTAAGAGTGTTTCTTAACTTTGGACTGAGTGATGATTAATATTTATCATAGTGACTCCTCCATCAGTGCTGGCTACTGAGTGTTTAAATTAAGCAGGACCCCACACTTTTCTATAGTGGATATACAGTGTGAATAAAGAATAAATGTTTGGTTCTAAGGTCTGAAGATTTTGAGATTTTTTTTGTTTCCACAGCTTAACCTAGCTTACCCTGACTGATACAAGTTGCTTTTAACAGGATATAAAAGGCATTTCAGTGAAGATTCTGACCATGTGAGCAACAGAAAAATTAAGAAGGAAGGGAAAAGAAGTCAGGTACTGAGAACTCACACTGTGATGACAATTTGGTGTTGGTGGGGGAGTAAATCTGCTTTGTACGGTCTTCTATTTCTCCTGTCCTATTCCTCCTGCTCTCAAAGTGAAGAAGCCCCACAGGGTTTTTCACTGTCTCTCAAACTGTCTTTCAATGTTTACTGATTTTATCTGCTTGGGTGCTTTCTACTATTTTTTTTAAATTGAAGTGTAGCTGATTTATATATTAGTTTCAGAGGTACAACACAGTGATTCAATATTTTTATAGCTTATACTCCATTTAAAGTTATGACAAAATAATGGCTATACTTCCCTGTGCTGTACAATATACCCTTGCTGCTTATTTATTTTATACATTGCCGTTTAAAAAATTATTTTGTATATTTTATTTACTTTTTATTGAGCTGTAGTTGACATAAAATATTATGTTACTTTCAGGTGTCCAATATAGTGATCATTATGAAATGATCATCATGATAATTCTAGTAACCATCTGTCACTGTACAAAATTATTAGAATATTATTAACTATATTCCTTATGCTTATGCATTATAATTTATACCTCTTAATTCCCTACCTTTATCTTGCCCTTCTTCCTTTGCCTTACCTTACTGGTAACCACCCATTTGTCTTCTATATCTGTAAGTCTGTTTCTGTTTTATTCCATTTATTAATTTGTTTTGTTTTTTAGATTCCACATGTAAGTGATAACAGAGTATTTATATTTCTCTGCCTGACTTTTTTCACTAAGCATAATACCCTACAGGTCCATCCATGTTGTTGCAAATGGCAGAATTTCATTCCTTCTTAATGGCTGAGGAATGTGTCTTCTTTATCCATATCTTCATTATCCATCCATCTGTTGATGAACACTTAAGTTGCTTCCATATCTTGGCTATTGTAAATAAAGCTGCTGGGAACACTGGAGTGCATGTATCTTTTTGAGTTAGTGTTTTTAATTTTTGGGTATATTCCCAGGAATAGAATTACTGGATTGTATGGCAGTTCTATTTTTAGTTTCTGAGAAAAATCCAGTTTTCCATATTGGTGGCACCAATTTCCATTCCCACCAACAGTGTACTAGGGATCCCTTTTCCCTACATCCTTGTCAGCATTTGTGATTTGTAGACTTTTTGATGTAGCCTTCCTGAGAAGTGTGAGGTGATATATTACTGTGGCTCTGATATGCATTTTTCTGATAATTAGAGATATTGAGCATCTTTTCATGTGCCCATTGGCAATCAGTATATCTTCTTTTGAAAAATATTCGGGGTTTTTTTTGCCCATTTTTAAGTGTATTGTTTGCTTTTTGATATTAAGTTGTATGAGCTGTTTATATATTTTGAGTATTAACCAAATATTTTCTCCCATTCAGTTGATTGTCTTTTTATTTCGTCTATGGTTTCCTTTGCTGTGCAAAAATTTGAAGTTTAATTGGGTCCTGTTTGTTTATTTTTGCTTTTGTTCCTTTTGCCTTAGGAGAAAAATCTAGAAAATTATTGCTATAATTTATGTCAAAGTGTGGTCTGCCTACGTTCTCCTCTAGGAGTTTCAGGGTTTCAGGCCTCACATTTAGGTCTTTAATCCATTTTGCGTTTATTTTTGTATATGATTTGAAAAACTGATTTCCACTATTTGAAATGCTCTGCCCACTTCCCCTTCTATGGAATCTTCAACTCTCAAATTTCAGATTGACTTTACGGACAATCTTAGGTCATTCCTCCGAGAAGTTTTTCCCAATTTTCTATCAAATCTGTGTTATTTCTTATTTAAAAAAATAATAAGACTTTATAATTTCTTGAGCACTAGCCAGTGTCAAGCATATGAAATGTTTATTTTGGGATAGATTTATCCCACTACATGGGTGGCAGAAACTGGTTTTCTATCTGGATTCCTAGCAGTATTGGCCTGGGATTGAACATATATTTGTTCAAGATCATTGATAGAGACCACGTATTCTAGCTTTCGGGTCAGTGCTCTTACTGCTATTCAACATTACCTCACGTGACCTCTTTGGGTACCATGTGAAAAATGAGTAGGAAGGAGGGAGAACCTGATCATCTCTTAGGTCATCCCCCAGTGATGACATCCTGTCTTGTTGTTCTTTCTATGAGTGAATTCTGTCCCTTAATTTCCTCAAACCCCTCTTCATATCTTTGTTCCTCAGGCTGTAGATGAATGGGTTCAGCATGGGGGTCACTATTGTGTACATAACTGTGGCTACCCGGTCCTTCACCACTGAGTACATGGACAGGGGCCTAAAATAGACATAGATGACACTCCCATAGAACAAAACCACTACGGAGAGGTGGGAGCCACAGGTAGAGAAGGCCTTCCACTTCCCGGCTGCAGACGGGATTTTGAGCACAGTGATGATGATTCGCAGGTAGGAGAAGAGAATGCACAGGAAGGGAGTCACAATGACAGCCAGGGTCTCAGTCATGACCACAATCTGGTTGGAAGATGTGTCAGAGCAGGACAGCTTTAGCACAGGCTGGGTATCACAAAAGAAGTGCTTGATGACATGGGAGGCACAGAAAGACAGGTGGGACATGAGTACCACACGCAGCAGGGAGTGCAGGTGAGAGATGGTGCAAGATCCCAGCAGCATGAGGAGGCAACGCCGTGGGCTCATCACCACATTGTATCGAAAGGGGTTGCAGATGGCTACCAGCCGATCTATGGCCATTGAGGCCAGCAGGTAGCTGTCAGTATTTGCAAAGGCCATGAAGAAGTACATCTGGACCAGGCAGCCCACATAGGAGATAGACTTTGTGTCTGAGAGTAAGTTCACCAGCATCTTGGGCTCAATGTTTGTTGTAAAGCAGATGTCCATGAAGGACAGGCTGCTGAGAAAAAAGTACATAGGGGTGTGGAGTCGGGAGTCAGATTGTATGGCCAGGATGATGACTGCATTCCCAACCAGGGTGACCAGGTACATGGTGAGGAAGACAGCAAAGAGGGGCTTCTGCAGCTGAGGGTTGGAAGAGACGCCCAGAAGGATAAATCCCGAGGTGCTGCTGTAGTTCTTTATCTCCATGTCCTTGACTTCGTCCTGGATGAGGTGTGGAGAAGCCATGGGAGACATGTGAAGGGCAATTTGATTCAGAGGGCTTCTTCCCTAACCTCCAGCCTATAAAGAAAAGAATCCCACTGCTCTTTGTTAGGATATTTATTTCAAGCAGGGGGCAAAATCCAGCAAGTGGGAAGTTAAACAATTTCAAGCTGCTTCCTAAATGAGAAACTAAAGTTTTCCCATGTGATCTTAGGAACTTCTATGTAGCCTAACTTGTCTGAGTTATTCCCAATTCTCTTTTGGAAGGTTCATCTTAGACTGTTTCATGACCAACTGCCTAGCCACCCTCCCCCCATTTTTCTCCTTGTCATAGTGGAAGAGGCTCCTGGGTCCCACCTTGAATCAGGATGCCTTCATACAATAGTCCCCATGACTGAGGTCCCCGTGTCACGATTCTTTCCTACTCATATGTCAAGAGGTGGTGGTGGTGGTGGGGATGGGACCAAAATGAGCATCAGATTTAGTCAATGCTCCCTGGTCCCACAGAGTTCAGATGAGAATTTGTTATGTCTTCAGTGCAAATACTTGCTTAATGTTGATTTAAGCAGTTCTGTTTGGCTAACAATGATCTGGACACTTAAATTCTAAGTTTTTGGTTCAGGGATGCCACTGAAAATAGGAATACATTTGACCATTGAGCAACATGGGTTTGAACCTTGGGGGTCCACTTTTTTCAATAAATATGTAGTATAGTTCTACATGATCCATGGGTTGGTTGAATTCGTGGGTGTGGAACCCATGGATATGGAGTGCCTGCTGACTGTGAAGTTACATGTGATTTTTTGACTGTGGGAAGGGTCAATGCCCTTTACCCCTGTGTTGTTCAAGGGTCAACTGTACTACTAGGCATATCCTACCCTGTTACTGAGTTTATTTCTTTAAATAAATAATATTCTTTTGTGATTGAAGCTATGAAGTTCTCATTCTAAATATTCAAATATTACAGGAATATAAACCTTGGAATGTAAGAGTCTCATTCTCACTAATATTATACAAAGAGAAGGTGCAGATGGCCTCTAGTTACCTCTGTTGTGCTACATTGCTTGGATGGTAGTCTAAGCTATTGAAAAAGCAAAATTAATGAAATGGAGGCATAAATATCAGATAAAGTGAAATTGTCATTTAAAAAAAAGTGATTTGGCTGTCTATTGAGAAAAACCCAAAATAACCATCTGAAAACTTTTAAAATCTATGAAGATTTCACCAGTGTCCTGATACAAGGTAGGTATACAAATATTAATGCTTTTCCTCTATTAGGAAAATGTAAAAAAGAAAGGAGTTTCAATTGACAATGGTATGAAAGTCCAAAATATAGTTAGGAACAAACACAAGAAGGGAACAAAAAAAGAGATGAGAAATAACTATCTGGAGAAACTATGGCAGAATAGAAAGGACGGTCTAAAAAGGAAGACTCAAATGTTTTAAAATGTCGATTCTTAGTTTCCAAGTATAAGTGATACCACACACAGCATTTGTATTCCTCTATCTGACTTCTTTCACAGCATAATGCCCTCTAGGTCCATCCATACTGTTGTGGTAGGATTTCCTTCTCTCTTATGACTGAATCTAGAAAAGACAAACTCTTGGAAACAGAGAGTAGATTGGTAGTTTCCAGAGGCTGAAGGGTGGAGGAAATGGGGTACAAATTTCCGGTTACAAGGCAAATAAGTTCTGGGGATCTATGGTAGTGCAGTTAACAATACTGTATTATATATTTGAATTTTGATAAAAGACTACATGATTTTTTAAAATTTATTTTTGTTGATATGTAATTGACAAATAACGTTGTGTAAGTTAAGATGTAAAATGTGTTGATTTGATACATTTATATTTTGCAGGGTAGTTACCAGCATAGCATTAGCTAACACCTCTATCACCTTGCATAATTATCATTTCTTTTTTTGTGGTGGGATCAGTTAAGATCAAATCTCTTAGCTACTTTTGAAGTGCATGTATAATTTAGTATTGCTATCTATAATTGATGTGCTCTGTATTAAATCTCCAGCACTTGTTGATCTAATGATTGCAATTTTGTACTCTTATGCAACATTTTCCCAATTTCCCCACCTCCCATCCCTGGTGACCACTCTTTTCTTAAGAGAGTAGATCTTGTTGTTGTCACCACACACGCATACACAAAGGTAATTGTGTGAGCTGATGGAGGTGTTAATTAACCCTACTGTGGCAGTCATTTTGAAATTAATAAGTGTATCAAATCATCACATTGTACACCTTAAATTTACAGTATGTTACATGCCATACTGTATAGATACATCTCTATAAATCTGGAAAAAAGCCAATTCTCAAATTAATAAAATGCAATTCACCTATAATAACACCCAAAGGGAGTTTTTAATGGGACTTGAGAAGGTCATTCTAAAATTCATCTAGATGAGTAAATGGCTAAGGAAAGACAAGATAATTTTGAAAAAAAATTAGAAAAATGACAGAGAAGTTTTCGAACTGAAAATCAAACACATGATAATGAAAATCAATAAAGTAACAATGAAAATCAAACAGGTAACACAGAGAAAAACCAATCAATGAATCAAAATGAAGAATTTTGTATACCTGTATTTATGCATGTATATATATAGATCTAGACCTATATGTAACTTAATATATAATAAAGATTTTTTCATATTAATGGAGAAAGGATGGACTATTAAGTAGGTGCCATTTATGACAGCTGGATGAACATTTGGAAAAAATAAGGCTAGATTTCTATCTAATCTGCAGATAGAAATTAAACCCATGTGAATGAATGAATCATATAAATATAAAAACCCACGCCATAAAACATATTGGCCAAAAATAAAGGAGCATATTTTACTGGTCTCAGGATAAGGATGCCATTCCAAGCAAGAAATAAAATGTGGAGGCATGAATGACAAAGTACTGTACTCAAAAATGTGAAAAAATTACACCCAAAGAGACCATACAGAAAGCTAAAATATAAACTACTGACTCAAAGGAAATATCTGCAACACATTTAGCAAAGAAAACATATGAGAAGATGTTCAACCTAACTGGTAATCAGAAAATGTAAATTAGACTTAAGTACAATAATCCATAAATTTCTGGGGACAATTTCCAAAAGGAAAAAGACCTTCACATACCTGGTCATTAGAAGGTAATCAGTATAAGCTTTTTGGGGGTCTCTATCAGATTTGAAAATCTGCGCCTCCTTATCCAATAATACAGCTTGTAGAAATCTATCCTTTAAAAATAGTCATATATCTGTAGCACAAAGTTATGTACAACAAAGTTATATATATACAGTTATACACATTTTTATTGTAGCATTGCTTATAATACCAAATAAAACAATACAAACAAATAAAACAATACAAATAAACAACACATAGATAACCCAACCTAAATACCCACAAATAGTTTAATTATTAAAACAACTTATAGTGAATTTGCATTACTCAATACTCCACAGTCTCTAAAGAAATGAGATGACTAATGTTTGTCACCACAGAGTAGCACTCAGTACACTTCACACACTGAGCTAAGTGCTTTGCACATCTCTATCATTTTCTTGTCTCTAAATTCTAAGAGACAGGCATATTATCCCCACATTTTACAGATAAAAAAAATGAGAGTTTAGCAAAGTTAAAGAACTTACCAGATCCCCTAATTAGCCAGTGGTGGAGCTGGGATTTGAATGCAGGCAGTCTGATGGCAGAGTGGAAGTCATACATTGCCAAGCTGTGTTGTCACCATTACACTACTGCATATGAGATTTTGTTTAGTGACAAAAGCAAGTTGCAGAACAATGGATATAGAAGAATCGCATTTTTTGTAAAGAAAAATATCTCCTTTATATGTTGTGTTTGTTGTGGGGTGTGGTGGAAGTGAGAATGAAGGGATGGAGTGGGGAATACCTTCCATATTTAACTTTATATTATGTGTTTGCTTTTAAAAATAAGGAACACATTTTACAATTAAGAAGATGAGTGTTCCCTCTAATTCCACTTCCCAGAGAACAAGAGTTGTGTGCATGTTTAAAAGTTTCTTTCTCTGCATGGATATATACACATATATTCAGAAATGGGGTCATATTGTCCACAATGCTTTTTCTCCCATTATAGACAGTGTTGCAGTGGATATTTTTGTATATGAATGTTTTGCACTCATGAGAGAGTTTCTATGGTATGGAATATATTCTGAGAGATGGAATGCTAAGTTGGAGTTTATGAACATAGAAAATTTTGATATTGCCAATCAGACACAACTTCCCTTCAGCCCACCTCTGGGAAATATATGCATTTGACCCTGGACTTCCCTCCTCCTTCCCTTGTTTCGCCCTCTGTGTCTTTCAGCCTCATTCCTTGGACTTTATTTTCCCTGGTGGTGAAGGGCTAGCTGACCCTCATTGGTCCTGAACCTGAAATTCCCCAGATCTCTGTGACATTTCTCAGGACAGTAGTTAGACCCTTTCTCACTTGGCTGAAGCTGATAACGCTGTATATTTCCTCATGCCTTGGGCAGGTCATTTCACCTTAGTGTACCCATCAATAAGATGAGGGTGGTTCTACTTTCTGCCTGCCTATTTCTGTCACTGAACTCAAATGACATTAGATATATTCTTTATAACCTTGATAACATCATGGCATCAAATTGTATGCATTAAATATGTGCAGGTTTGTATATCAATTATACTTCAGTAAAGCTGTAAAACAAAGGCAGCCCTGCACGGCCTGGACATGGGTAGTGATAGAAGGACCATGCCCATTTGTCCATGAAAACTTTTCAAAGATAGACCTGAAAAGAACTCAATGGATTTGACTGCAGTTGGTTGAGCAGCCTTACAGGTGAATGTTCATTCCACCTACTTGCAATACTTCTTTGTTGCTCCCAGAGCATAGTTAGAGGAGGTAATTACATATGTTGCTGTTCCTGAGATTTTGATGGGAAAATGCAGTGTCAATGAAGGAGGGGGCTAGAATTCAGCAGTGACCTGCCTGTGCTCCCTCCCAAATGTTTAGCCTCCCTCCCCACGCTGTAGGTTTTACATGACCCACATAAGGTGGAGGGAGGTTGCTGCTTTGTGATG